TATATATATATATATATATATATATATATATATATATATATATATATATATATATATATATGAAAATATATATATACACACACACACACACGCACACACAGTATACATTTTAAACAAACAATTTAATACTGTACACAGCAATGATAATTGTGAAGCTCGGTTGAGGTGGTGAAGTCAGCGGGTGGAAGAGGGTGGGATATTTCCCAGGGAATGCCTTACTGCTAAATGGTGAACTAGAACAGCTGAGCCCTCAAGGGTTAACACCTTGTTAATGTAGCCTCACACTCTACAAGGCAGCATAAATGGAGGGAGGGGAGACAGCATGGCAGACAGAGACAGAGACTCATCTGTGTGTGAGAGAGAGAGATGCGCATTGCACCTTTAAGTACGCTGACAGCACTCTAAGTACATTGCCTTTTTAAGTAGATCAGCAAGTTGAGACAGACCCTGCTGCCAGCAAGCTCTCTCCATCCTGAGCCCTGTCGTATCTCCCTCCTGCTCTATGGAGATTGGGTAAGCATGGGGCAGGAGCAGGGGGGAGGGGACACCCTGACATTAGCCCCTTCCCCCCTCCCCCCCGTACAGCAAGCAGGAGGCTCCCGGGAGCAGCTCCAAGGCAGAGGGCAGAAGCAGCACATGGCAGTCGGGGGAGGGACAGCTGAACTGCCCAGCAATTGATAGCCTGCTGGGAGGCTGCAGCACAGGGAATTTAGGGGAGCGGGGAGCTGCCGGTCCACCCTGGTTCCACCCTGCTCTTTCTGCAAGCAGTGGACAAAACAGGCGGTTGCCAAACAACATTATAAGTGAGCATTGCACAACTTTAAACAAGCATGTTCTCTAATTGATCAGCAACATAATGAAACAACGTTAACCGGGACGACTTTAAGTGAGGAGTTACTGTACTTGGATTCACCAAAACCACATGAACTCCATCTATTACTTTAGAGAACTGCACCACATAAATTAAAGCTCTCAGCATCTTTGTGAGGTAGACAAGTACCATCAGGTGGTATGATCAACTTTTAACAAAAGGAGAAACACCATAGAAGGTTAATGCCAAAGGCCCACAACTAGTCTGGCCAAAGCTAAGAATAGAACTCAAGAGGTGCTGGCTCTTAAATCTATACTCAATCAACTAGACCAGAAAGAGGTTCTGCTCACCTCTACTAAAGATCCATCCTTTGACTCCCCCACTCAAATGAATTCCATTTTGTTTGTCTATTTCTAAACACACACACACACACACACACACACACACACACACACACACACACACACACACTACTTAACTAATAGTAA